TATACGCCAAATGCTGTCTTAACGTCAACCACTCGTACGTGGTTGTCCTGTCCAGGATATGTCTTAATGATGCGACCCATTGGCCACTTCATTACAGGAAGGTTGTCTTTCTTAACCAAAACTAATAATCCTTCAGGTACGTTGGTGAAGCGGTCTTCCATTTATGCCGAGCTTGCAATTCTTGGAGGTATTCTGTAGACCATTGTTTCCATTGTGCTTTAGACGCGATACCAATTCCCAGCGCTTGACCAATGTTCTTCCTTGATGGTCAGTTTTGACGTCAGGAGGCGTTGTCAATGGTTCACCAATCAAGAAGTGTCCTGGGGTGAGCGCTGTTGTATCAGTGGGATCATTTGACATTGGAGTGATGGGTCGAGATTTGAGAATTGCTTCAATTTCGATTATTATCACTGTGTTTAGTTCTTCAAATGTCAATGAGGCTGTGTTGGTGGTTGTTATCAACAGTTTTTTTTGCTGATTTTACCGCCGCTTCCCAGAGGCCGCCAAACGATGGAGCCCTGGGAGGAATGAATTTAAAATCCACTTGCTTTTTGTTGCAATGATTCGTGATCAGAGCACTTGCCTTTGAGCTGAATATAGAGTCTTCTAATTCTTTAAGCTGGTTGTTTGCACCCACAAAGTTCGTTGCATTGTCGCAATGAATAGTTTGGCACTTCCCACGTCTGCTTAAGAATCGACGCAGGGCGGCCAAGAATGCATCTGTGGTCAGGTCGCTTACCAGCTCCAGGTGCCTTTGTGGAAAAGTAGCAAAACACGGCGATGTACGCCTTATCGGGTCTTTTGCCTCGGATCTTATGGTGGATCGAGATTGGTCCACAGTAGTCGACGCCTACATTAAGAAACGGGCGTGCTTGTGTGACTCGTTGTGCTAGGAGATTGCCCATGATCTGGTGTATCAGCTTTGGTCTAGCCTTGGTGCATCTAACACAGCTGTGGATGATGCTTCTAGCCATTGTCTTGTCATTGATAATCCAATATTGTTGTCTTGCGATTGCCCTTAATGCTTGAGCACCACAATGCGATTCCTCTCGACAGGACATCGGCTGCGTTGTTGGCCGATGACACGTCGTGACGCCATTGTGACTGATTTGTTAATGCCTGGATTTTGGCTATTCGATTTGCCACAAAGGTATGGTATGTTGATGACGATGCGTTTATCCAGGATAAAACAACGGTGGAATCACTCCAAAACCATCCTGAAACCGTTGTAATGTCCATGTGCAGATCCTGTCGGACTCGGTTTGTGAGCTCACTGCAGCACAAAGTTCTAACAGTGGTAGTGATTGTTTGGCTGTCGGCGCCACACGTGATTTCGAACAGAGCAGTCTTACTGACACTTGGTTGTTTTTGTATGTAGCGCGTACATATACTGCTGCGCCATATGCTCGTTCTGATGCATCTACAAACTTATGGAGTTCTTGGGTAACTGGAATTTTACCATCGTAGATATACCGGGGAATTTGCATTTTGTTCAATGTTTGTAAGTCGTCCCGGTATTCTTTCCATTCGGTTTGGTGTTGTAATGGTAATTCGTTATCCCAATCCAGTTTGAGCTCCCAAAGTTGTTGCATGAAGATTTTTGCCTTTACTACCACCGGTGCAAAGAGTCAAAGATTTGGGCCAGTTCGGAACGTACCACCCGTTTGGTGATGCGTGTAGCCTGGCTTTTCTGTGTTCGTCCACACAATGTATCCTTCTTCGGCATCCAGATGAGACCCAGAGTTTTCACGCTGTAGTGCTCTAGTGTCTCTCCTAATTTTACATCGGTTACAATATCCTCTTTGGGGATTCCTTGGAGAAGTTGCTCATTGTTGGAGCACCACTTGCGCAATTTGAATCCGGACGGTAGAAATATCTTATTTAGTTCTTGTCGAGCATGAATTGCCTCTGGAATCGTGTTTGCTCGTTGTTGATCCTACTGGTAGTCTGTCATTGTATTGTATTGCCAAATGATCCAGACATTTCGTTGCTAGGAACGGAGCAGCTGTTGTCCCATATGTTACTGTTTTCAGGCGATAGTACCTGATCTCTTCGGATGGATTGCTTCTCCAGACTATCATCTGATGGAATTGATCCTCCGGATTCATCCACACTTGGCGGTACATCTTTTCTATGTCCGCTGTGAATACGTACTTATGAATTCGAAATCGTAGCAGAATGGACATAAGTTCGCTCTGAACGGTGGGTCCAGCCTGCAGAATGTCGTTCAAAGATTTCCCGCTTGTTGATTTGCATGAGGCATCGAATACTACCCGAAGCTTTGTGGTGGTGCTCTCATGTTTGAGTACACAATGATGTGAAATGAAGTAGTGCCTTTTGGGAACTTTTGATGCTGGCTCAATCTTCATATGTCCTAGTCCTTCATACTCTTCCATGAAGTCCACATAACTCTTCCAAGTTTCTGTTGAGCTTCGCCGCTCCAACGCTAGGAATCTTTTTGTTGCGGTTTCCAACGACTCCCCCAGGGCTGAAGGGTGTTCGGAAAATAGGAGCTTTACAATAAAACGGCCGTCTGAAGCTGTCTGAAGATTTTCTATAAAATGAGCTCACACCGTGCTTCCACTGGAGTGCGTGGTTTGTCTTCCGTCTCTAGATTGTCCAGAGTGCAGAATCTTTCCATGAGCTCGTTTACTCCCGTTGCACAAATGGGTGAGGAATTGTGGGCAGATTTGACTTTTCCTGCCACAATCCATCCCAGCTTAGCTGTTGATCTGGTAGCAGCAGCGAGTAGTAATGCTCGACTCCGATTTACATGTCTGTGGCTGAACAGATATAGTGTTTTTTTTTTTTAAGTTCAGAGGAAAGGTAGCATGAGCCTACAAGAAGAATTTACAATCGTTAATATTTTCCGTCATTTACCTCCAGTATTTGAACTATTTAAATAGAGGGGGCTTAAGAGGGCTAAGTTCGGGTTTTCAGATACATATATTGTTGTTGAGGAACCAAAATTGAGGCAAAAACAATTAAAGTCAAGTATTTAAAACAAGACAGCTAAGTAGAAAATTGATTCATTAATCGGATAAAATTATGTGGGCAGGGCTGAGATATCTAGATATCTAAAAATATTCGACGGAATATCAAAATTGTTTCTGCTTCGAACTGTATTGGGAAAAGCAATAATGCAGCTGGCTGGATGACAACAAAGCAATAATATAAGTCCAGTCCACATCATTGCAAAGCGACTGTCCCTGCATGGAGCAAACTGAGATCCTCGCCCGCATACAGCCAAAGCATGTCCATTTTCAAGGCGCGGTATGGACGACACAAAAATGTGACGTGTTTTCGGGAATTAAGAACAAAAGATTGTTATCCCCCCCTGTATCTTTCAGTGTAAAAGAGTTCGATGATGCGCTGGCCCAGGATGTGGTTGACCTAAAGGAGCTGCGCAGACTGACGTTTAATGGTGGGATATCACACTTCTGATAGGCGTAGTAATTCATGGACATGAATCCAATCCAATCCACAGGTGTGCCCGATGTATAAAGCTTCCGTGCACTCAGCTGGAAACTGCTGTTGGGCTACTTGGGACCAAGACGCAGCAGTTGGACGACCACGCTGGCCCAGAAGCGAGCCCTGAACCAGCAGTTCATTGAGGAATTGGTACTCCCCCCGGGACACAGCTGCAATGGAGCTGGAGAAGGCGACGGGGACGGGGACGTCGCTGTTGATTCAAGGGGCGTTGGCCTACAAGATCATCCGCTTAGCGAGGGGCCAGAAAGCGCCTGGAACACATTCTTCAATGACAACAAATTTCTGCTGCAGATCGGCAAAGATGTGAGGCGCCTGTGTCCCGACATCTCGTTCTTTCAGCAGCCCACAGAGTATCCCTGTGACATTGTGGTGCACAGTAAAGGCGAGCACGGGCGCCGGCTTCACAAACGGGTAGTGCCCACGGTGCTCAGCTCGGCGAACGTCCTGGCCTGGGTTACGTACAGGGCAAGAATGAGATTGTCGGACCCATCTACTATGTGATGGCCTCGGATCCGGATCTCTCGTACCGCGCCCACGCGGAGGCAGACTGTTTCTTCTGCTTCACGGCTCTAATGAGCGAGATACGCGACTTCTTCATCAAGACTCTGGACGATGCGGAGGGTGGTATAAAGTTCATGATGGGCCTGCTATCTAACATGCTGAAGACTAAAGATATAGCATCTGAAAAGCCAAGAGCTGCCTCCGCAGTACTACAGCTTCAGGTGGCTCACCCTCCTGCTCTCGCAGGAATTTCCACTGCCCGATGTGCTGCGAATTTGGGATTAGGTATTCTCGGACGAGCAGCGCTTTAATTTTCTCATCAAAATCTGCTGAACCATGATATTGTAAGCATGCGCTGACTTTGAACTGATTCATTTGCATTTACTGATGTATTTACTGATTTATAGAATCCAAAGGGAAGCAATTTTAGAGAACGACTTTGCCTCGAATGTGAAGCTGCTGCAAAACTATCCACCCATTGACATAAACGTTGTGATTACTCATGCAGTCTCCCTGGCGTAGCACTCACTTTTAGGGATACCACAGATATTACATATAATACCCGATTCCGGGTAGAGTCTGACAAAGCAATAATCCACAGTGTCTAGTTATCATGTTCAATAGTTGGAAGCCCAGGACCCAACAAAAGATCGAACACTAGCGCTGTTTCTCTGTTTTATACGTTACAATTTCATAATAAACGAATGTGCCGCATGTGTTTGTGTGGAGATTAAAAATGCGAAAACATATGTAAAATTGAGTGATCATAGCTCAAGTGTAATTTTGTGTTCGTGTGTGGCATCGTCAAAAAACACAGTAAAAAATATATATAACATTGGATTCCCGTTAGAGATTGATTACTTGGCCAAACGTGGGGCCGTATCCTTGCAAATCGTCTGAGCAATAAACTCCACCAGTGTTCGGGTCGGGCGGCCGGCCATTCCCTTGCGCAGATACTCGTATTCGAAGCCCTTTGTCACCATAACATTTGTGGCATCCTTTGAGGGAGAAAGTCCATAAGATCTGCGCCCCAACAAAGCGCCCCACAATACTCACAATATACATCCACTGGCCACAGGGCACAAACTCACGGAGAAAGGCAGCGGCCTTGCAGGGACGTCCACCTCGGTCAATGCCATAGTTCTGCACATCGCTGCGTCCCGGTATGCATGCTGGCGTGCTTGATCTGCTGCCACAGGATCTCCGAGTTGGTAAAGACCCCCGCAGCCGACTCATCCAATGCACTTGGGACAGAAGTTTTGCGCATACAGCAGGGCGTCTGCCAGGACCAGTACATCCTCGTGATCGGTGCACTGGATCTCGATGGTCTTGCCGTTCATGGACTTGACCATGTCCCCAGTACGGACCGAATTGCAGCCCACTACGTTTTCACAAAGAGGTATCAGGCCGCGAATGTTGACCTAAGAACAGCATTATTATTCAAGGAGATATCATTTCTGTCCTGAGTACTTACCGGTAAACGCAGGCCAGCCACAGCTCGACAACAGGCCACCACAACGGCGGCCCCGGTCATGTCGCCACGCATATGGAAGAGCTCATGTTTCTCTTTCAGGCACAATCCTCCAGCATCGTAAGTCACGCCTTGGCCCACCAGCACAATGGGGCGCTCCTCGGCACAGGTGCCGTAGTAACTCAGCTCCAGGAAGATGGGTGGCTCGCACGAGCCTTGCCCACAGCCAGGAAGGCGTGCATTGACTGGCTCTCGGCCCAGCCCTCGACCTTGACCTCCACATTGACACCGGATTTGCACAGCACCTCGACGACATTCTGCGCAAAAGCTGTGGGTGTGAGGAGGTTGGAGGGCATCTCCTGCAGCTGTCTCGTCAGGTTCTGGGCGGCTGCCTTCTGCAGACCAATGCGCCATCCTTCGAGGTCGCAGACCTCGTCTTTTCTTGCGTATAAGTCCAGCGACGGCACTGGAATCCTGTTCTGTGGGTTACGCAGCTCCTGGTAGAGCCAGATGCCCAATGCGGCCCCCCGGACATGCGGAGGACCTCTAGCAATCGGCCGGCAGTCTTCTGGACATTGTACCGCCAACCGGCCGCGGTGAGGACGCCAGCATCATTGCGGTCCGTTTCGTCGGCGAACACGCCGACCACAAGTCCGCGGGATGGAGGATCCGCACACATGTCCATCTGCTGGAGCTGCAACATCTGGTTTACCGCCTGCGAGGCGGAGCGGCGCTGGATAGCCTGGGGACGTGGTCGCAGGCGCTGCGGGAAGGCCTAGGAGACCAGCCGACGTACAACGCCATGTACCAAATATCAGAATATACGTATTTCGTGTTCAATTTCTAGCAATAGAGAATGCCAAATTGAGGCGATGAATGTACTCCATGAGAAAGTGACACTCACTTCAAGGGCTATTTGGTCGGTACATTCACTAAATTCGAAAGGATCAGAATCTAAAAACGAGTGGACATCGGCCCTTCACTCACTACTGTTTTGGTTTGGCTGTCCTCGGAGGAGTAAACATGTCGAGTATGTATATCTTTGACAAATGGGGCTAACAAATCATGAACTCTTGAAGGGCCATGGTACTCAAATAGATGTGGCTCTGGATGAGTGTAACTTCCAGAAGGAAGCCTTTTCGTCCTATGAGCGTCCTTGATGAGCACCTAGATATCAGAGACCATGAAAGCTAGAGCAACCAAATTGTATATCCAGACACCTGGACCCGTCCGCTCCCACAAAGACCAAAAATCTGTGGAATTCACAATTAACGCAGAATCGTAGAGAACGCCATATTTACTAGACTGTCAAATGTGGATGAGATCGGATCGTTATTATAGCCATAACGACCAAATCGCCTTCCACGCGCTTACTCATTCTCTCTCGATCTCTCTATCCATCTCACACACTCTTTCTCGTGCAGTGTGTTCGCTCTGGCGGAGGGAAGCGAGACAGAACGGCGGGCTTGTGTGTAAGAAAGAGAGAGAGGGAGAAAAGTTCCACTCTCCTATCTCATGACAAGTGCGAGCATAATTCAGAGTTCATTTCGTTCCCGCTCGTTAAAGAATCTTTTTTGTATAAGTGGGTGATAAAAAAGAAAGGTTTTTAAAATCAAAACGTTAGAGAATACAATTTATTTGGCATACGCCTAACTTTTAAAATATTTCAGCGAAAAATAAGTTTAATTTTACAATAAGGCATCGCCGTTACAAAGTGCCGTGACTAAATGATTCCTTTAAAGTTTCGATACTGCATCATTAATTCCTGAAAATTTAGAATAGTTTTTCTAAAATAAATAGACCGAAAAACTTGGGTGACTGCAAATTTGTATTTTACGACGACGAAAAAAAAGGAGTGCGTGCGTTCGTTTTCATAGATTTTTCTCGACTTCTCTTCATATATTCAAACAATTTCTTCTGCGCCTATCTTACCTACGGTTGCAAAGTGGGGCGAATTCGCCAAGAGCGAGAGAGCGAGCTTATATTGCGCTCCCGCTTTGCCCTAGCCTAACTTACACTAGACTTCATAAAATACGATCCTAATAACAATTATTATACGCCAAATGGCGCTACACCGGCCCCGTTGAAGGCCTGGAAGGCTTCAAACCAGTGGCAGAAGAGCCAACTTGTGGATTGGCCTCCTGAACGTGGCTCCGCTGCTCGTCCTTAGGTCGACCACTCTGACCCTTCCGTCCTGCCCGGCGGTTGTAACGACCACCCTTCCGAGGAGCCCCTGTTGAGGGGGCAGGTTGTCCTCGGCGACGATTACGAGGTCGCCTTCCTTGATGTTTGGTTCCTCCTGGTGCCACTTGAATCTTATTTGCAATCCCAGCACATACTCCCGGGACCATCGCTGCCAGAACATTTGCCTGGCTGACGAGACAAGCCGCCATCGCTTTAAGCAGCTCAGACCCTCCTGGTCCGGGGTCCTGGGTGCTGGGGGTGCGATGAGCGGCCCGCCTGTCAGCAGGTGCCCGGGAGTCAGCATGTCTCCGTCGCTTGGGTCTGAGCTTAGGGGTCCTAGCGGGCGCGAGTTGAGTACCGCCTCGATCCCGACCAGCACGGTCTCCAGCTCCTCTGCGGTGAGGAGAGCGCTTCCGACTGCCCGTAGGAGTAGGCCCTTGGCAGACTTCACACCGGCCTGCCAAAGTCCGCCCATGTGCGGTGCTCGAGGCGGTATGAAGGCAATCTCGCACCCGCTTCTTGACGCAAATTCGCGTATCGCGTCCGCTTCCGCCTCTATCTTCCTCCGCAGTTCGCTGAAGTGGCGACTTGCTCCGACGAAATTTGTCGCGTTGTCGCAGTTCACGCGTTGCGGACATCCTCGACGACCGACGAACCTTTGGAATGCCAACAAGAAGGAATTAGTCGTCAAATCGGAGACAATTTCTAAATGAACCGCCTTGGACGCAAAACAGACAAATAACGCTATGTAGGACTTATAAGGGGGCCTTCCACGAATTTTCAGAGTCGTATAGACTGGGCCACAAAAATCAACGCCACATACTGAAAATGGGCGGAGAGCACGGAGCCGGTCTGCGGGTAAGTTGCCCATCATTTGGGTCTGGAGTAGCGGCTTGCATTTAAAGCAACGAATACATGACCTAACTGTCGCCCTGCAGACCGCCTGAGCATTCACTATCCAAATGCGTTGTCTAAGGATACTCACGAGTGCTCGTGGGCCGGCATGAAAACTCGTTTGATGCAGATAGCGAACGTATGTCTGCACAAACTGCGAGCGTTTTGTCAATAAAAAGGGAAACTTGGCATTATATGACATAGGAGCGTTAACTAGTCGCCTTCCAACTCGCAACAACGAAAAAGAGCACCATGTCCCAGCCTCTTCATGGATGAAGGGATTCAAGCGCTGAAGACTGGGGCCTAACTTGGTGCCTTTACGAACCCTTTCAATATCTTCTTGAGACTCATTTTTCTGTGTTATTTCGACTATTTTTAGAAACGCCTCGTCGTATTCTACGGATGACGGAATTTTTCCAAAGTTGAGACTTTTGTCTTTGCATTTTCGGATGAAGCGGAACACGAAAACGAACACTCTTAGCAGTTTGAGGTGTGACGAGTATCCCTCGATTACATCCACTAAATAATTTGACTTGGCCGCGCCGGTCAGTGTGACCGATTTCTTCCGACTTTCCATCTGTATCTCTTCTTCGGAAAGCTCGAAGTGTGGATTTCTGGGCCAGCTCTCTTCTTCAAACTTTAAGAACTCTGGTCCACCAAACCAGATCGACTGCACGATTTCCTCTACGTCACAAACTCTCGAAACTATGTCTGCTGGGTTCTGTTTTGTTGGCACATGCCGCCACGTAGCTTCACTTGACCACTCTTGAATCTCCGCTACTCGGTTCGCAACGAATGTTGACAACGACGAAGGGTGGGATCTGATCCAATGAAGAGTAACTTCTGAATCTGACCAGAATATCACGTTCTCAATTGGAACCTTGAGCAGTGATTTGATTCGGTGACAAAGGTCTGCTAGAAGGTGAGCGGCACATAACTCAAGCCTTGGGAGCGTTTTCGTCTTGGGTGGCGCTACTTTCGACTTTGCAGTCAACAAGGAGACCTCGAAACCTTCTGCAGTCTTTCTACGGATATAGACGCAGGCTCCATAAGCTCTCATGGATGCGTCGGCAAAGGCATGTACTTGAATCGGTGACATGAGATCAGTATGCACAAATCGAGGTATGGTAATCTTCTCCAACTGACCCAAGGATTCTTTTAATAAGTTCCATGCTGTTTCCAAGTTCATTGGAATTGACTCATCCCAACCTAGCTTGTTAAGCCAAAGCTCCTGCAGTAGGATCTTTCCCTTAATTACTAAAGGACTTAACAAGCCAAGGGGGTCAAACAGCTTTGATGTCACCGATAATATGTTCCGTTTTGTCGCTCGGAGACCCATAACTGACGTGTCAATTCGGAACTTAAAGACGTCTTCGTGTGGCAGCCACGATATTCCTAACGCCTTAGTTGACTCTGAGTCCGAGATCGTTATTGGTTTAACTGTGCTCTCGGATGCGGTGACCTCAGGTGAGTTCGAAAACCATTTAGTCAATTCAAACCCAGCGGTTTGAAGAACCTGAGCCAGATCAGACTTAATTGTCTTTAACTCCTCTACGCAACCAGCACCAGTCAACATGTCATCGACATAGAAGTCGGAGTCAATAACTTCAGCAGCTTTAGGGAATGAGAGTTTTGCAGACTCACTCAACCTCTTCAAACACCGAATAGCCAAAAATGGGGCTGGTCCAGTCCCATATGTTACGGTGTTGAGCTGGTATATTCTCAAGGACTCAGATGGGTCTCTTCTCACACTATGAGC